TACGGCGGCGTCCAGTGCCCCTTGCTCTTTGCGTACGGCCTTCTCGAAGCCATGCCTGACAACACCTAACCACAGTGTCTACACTTCTTTGCACTCTAACTGCAATTGCCCGAAAAGAAAGTCCAGCTTCCCGAAGTTCCACTATACGGCCCCTATCAAACTCACTAAGTTGACGAAATCGTACAGGTCTCCGTACTCTAGGCATCGTAACCGATCGTAAAGGATGTCAAGAACCAAAATCCGCCAACGTTGATTCTTTACTGCGGCTGAAATATTCATCTTTAGAGCGTTGGTGAATTAAAAAAAAAGCAGTATAAAAACCGGAATGTCCAACTGATAAGGCTGAAAATTTTTTCACTTGTTATTTACAGTAAGATAAATACATTCACCAACTTTTATTAAAATAAAACCATTTAAACTGGGTGTTCGGATTTATATGTCACTTAGTATATTTACATAACATGATTTAGATTACTTGAATTTTCTCATTTTGTCTTTTATGTTCAAGTCTGAAAAAAATTTCGTTCGGAATTTCGGGGGGGCTTAAGCCCCCTGAGCCGCCCCCCCCTGGCTACGTGCCTGTATCGTCAAAATTGTCAACTGGAATGATCTAAAAATTTGTATGTGGATTTACCAAACAATTTCCCCCATTCAAAAGTCTTTACTTAAAAGTAACGCGCACCAGAGGCGGGAAGTCAGATAATTAGTGGCACTGTTTTTCCAAATAAAAATAGTACGCCACTGTTTTTTTCCAAACGCGCATTTTTTTTAAATTTCACCTTCAATTTGCTACAAATAATTGCTCTTGTGTTTTTTCCTAGAGTGTTTTGGGAAAAAACAGTGGCGTACTATTTTTAATATTAATAATAATAATAGCCTTTATTTAACCTAGCGGGTGTCAGCTAAAAGCTGTTTTTCATACCAACCAGGGCCAAACAAAATTATAATACAAAATCTGGGAGACATAAACATTGTTGAGTAACAATAATGAAAAATCTATTATGCCAAGAATAGGCATTTTTTTTTTTTAATTTAAAGAAAAAATCATATATAGTCACAGTTAACAGTTACACCATTACATAAGTTAAAAACTAAATAATATAAGGAATTATGACATATTTTCAAAACAATTTTTTTTACGTTTGACCTAAAAAGTGGAACAGATAAAACTTTAACCTTTATTTGGAAAAAGAATCTCACAAATCTCCTGTATCCCCTCCACTGGTGCACGTTAATTTTAAGTAAACACGTTTAAATGTGGATAACACTTGGGTGAATCCACGTACCAAATTTCAATTCATACCAGTTTACTGTTTTGAAGATATTGAAAAAATTGTTTTTTATTTTTAAACTTCAACACCCCGTATCTTTTTAATGAGGCCCTTGAGGAAAAAATGTTACACAGATGTCCCCCGTTAAAATGCGATCATGTGTATGGTGTTTCATTTTTGGTCACGACTTGTGAATCACCCTGTATTTATACGTTATCTGAAAATATGTCTATTTTTATTGCCAAAACAAGTTACGCAATCGTAGTGAAAAGAGACGCTGATGTCTTTTCTAAACATGCATTCCTCTGGCAGTTGTTTTTTAATTATGAAAATGGTATTTCCGTGTCTGAATATGAAACCTCTCTTATTGAATACACTTTTTTGTCTGAAGCATTTTTCAGCTGAATCGTTCGACCTCGACCTTTAGAAGACTGAAATTGGTAGTGAATCAATTATTCATGGTTGCCTGTGCGTATATTAGGTAGAGCTCAATTCAATAACCATTGAATTTCTATATTTGTATCTACTTATCGACAAATGATATACAGGGTGTCCCAGAAGTCGACGTCAAGCCGAAACCGGGTGATAGGCATAGGGATAAAACTTTGCTCAACTTTAACTGGCTGTACTGGAAAAAAATGTACTACGAGAGTTTGGCAAGTAACCTTAAAAGTTGGCGCATTTAATAAGGATTCTAAAATGGTATAACACTTAGAAGATTACTCGTTAACATATGCACAATTTTTATTTGAAGAGAAACTGATGAAAATTTTTCAAAATTTCCTAATTAAACAGCGATTATGAAAACGCACAAGGACCCTTAAGGATAACTGTTTGCACAACAGTGGGCATCAAAATGCTGCTGATGATGATTTACCTTTACAGCAAATGATCAAACTGTTTTCCTTCAGCCGCAATACACGCTCGACATCTTCTTAAAAAAGATCGGGTTATTAAACGAGCGAATCCACGGTTATAACAAACTCTGCTGCTTCCAATAGTCTTTGCCGTAGCTCAGCTACATTTTGAATCGGCTTGAAATACACTTTTTCTTTTACAGTTCGCCAGTAAAAAAAATCTAACGGATTCAAATCTGGTGACCGGGCTGGCCACGGTATTGTACCAGACCGCCCTATCCATCTGCCTGGAAAGTTTTAATCGAGATACTCTCTCACTGAGAGTGCATAGTGCGCTGGGCATCATGCTGAAACCACATATCCCTGTAAATACTCAGTGGCACGTCCTCCAATAAATTTTCTAAATCATTTTGCAAAAAACCTAAATAAACCTCAGCAGTCAAAGTCTCTGGGAACTCAAACGGACCGATTATTTTACCATTTAAAATTCCTGTCCAATGGTTTATCTTGAAGCGATATTGAGATTTATCTTCTCTCATCAAATGTGGGTTTGTTACGTGCCACTCGTGTAAGTTATGCAAGTTCATGTACCCATCTTCTTAAATGTGGTCTCATCTGACCATAAAATTTTTTCAAAGAACCGTGGATCTTCCCTGTGTCTTTCTAACATTGTGCGACAAAAAGCAACTCGGGGCTCATAATCCCGGGGCAGAAGAGCTTGAACACGCTATACGTGGTATGGATGGAGCACGTTTTTTTGCAAGATTCTATGGGCTGTACTTTTGGGCACACCTGTTTTTAGTTCTATTGCACGCACTGAAGTACTTGGGTCTTCTTCGACAGCTCCTAGCACCACGTCTTCGTAAGGAAGGAAAGATCTTCCCTCACCGTGTGATTGGTTTGGTAGTTGGCCCTCTGAGAACAGTAAGCGGTGCACATTTGTGAACACTCGATGATCTCGATGATGAGCTGCATTCGGGTACCTCTCACAGTAAAGTCTCGCTGCAGCACGAGCGTTGCATCTGCATTCCCCATAAATGAGGTGCATGTTAGCATATTCTTGTACGGTGTACACGGACATAGCGGCACTGCACAATCACACTATCAAAGATAGTCTAAGGAAAGCAAATGTTGTTTTGAAGAGCAATTAAACAGTCCAAATCCAAATCACAAGCGATCAACAGTCCAGTTCACGAATCCAAAATTAGTAACAGTACGAAATCAACAAGCACGAATATGTAAAGATGCGCAGTAAACGAAGGAGTACTGATCGGTATCAAAGTGTGCAATAGCAAGTAAGTGATGTGCTTCATCCATACCACATACAGCGTGTTCAACCTCTCCTGCCCCGGGATTATGAGCCCCGAGTTGCTTTTTGTCGCACAATGCTAGAAAGACACAGGAAAGATCCACAGTTCTTTAAAAAAAAATTATGGTCGGATGAGACCACATTTAAGAAAGATGGGTACATGAACCTGCATAACTTACACGAGTGGCACGTAGCAAACCCACATTTGACGAGAGAAGATAAATCTCAATATCGCTTCTAGATAAACCATTGGACAGGAATTTTAAATGGTAACATAATCGGTCCGTTTGAGTTCCCAGAGACTTTGACTGCTGAAGTTTATTTGGATTTTTTGAAAAATCATGTACAAAATTTATTGGTGGACGTGCCACTGAGTATTTACAGGGACATGTGGTTTCAGCATGATGGCTGCCCAGCGCACTATGCACTCTCAGTGAGAGAGTATCTCGATCAAAACTTTCCAGGCAGATGGATAAGGCTGTACAATACCGTGGCCAGCCCGATCACCTTGATTTGAATCCTTTAGATTTTTTTACTGGGAACTGTAAAAGAAAAAGTGTATTTCAAGCCGATTCAAAATGTAGCTGAGCTATGACAAAGACGATTGGAAGCGGCTAAGTTTGTTAATAACCGTGGATTCGCTCGTTTAATAACCCGATCTTTTTTAAGAAGATGTCGAGCGTGTATTGCGGCTGAAGGAAAACAGTTTGAACATTTGCTGTAAAGGTAAATCATCATCAGCAGCATTTTGACGCCCACTGTTGTGCAAACAGTTATCCTTAAGGGTCGTTGTGCGTTTTCATAATCGCTGTTTAATTAGGAAATTTTGAAAAATTTTGATCAGTTTTTTTTCAAATAAAAATTGTGCATAAGTTAACGAGTAATCTTCTAAGTGTTATACCATTTTGGAATCGTTATTAAATGCGCCAACTTTTAAGGTTACTTGCCAAACTCTCGTAGTACATTTTTTCCAGTACAGCCAGTTAAAGTTGAGCAAGGTTTTACTTTGGAATACTTGGTTGGGAAATAAGTCGCAATTTTTCCTGAACGAGAAAAGTTGGCAGTAAGGTTGAGACACCGGTTTAAAGATGCATTATTCATCATTACATTGTAAAAATAAAATGCAAAAAGAGTTAATATTTGTAGTAACAGGAGTACTGCCGTAGGGTGTGAAATTTCTATATCTTTTTCAAAGACCTATAATTTTCAAAACACATACTTAAAATTTTTTTAAATATTTTTCTGATAGCTGTTATGACTTTGCCTATCACCCGGTTTCGGCTTGACGTCGACTTCTGGGACAACCTGTAGTTATTTCTGTATTAACAGCGCCAAGCAGAAATTGCTGCTCAAGGAATAGCCTTAGTCAAGACAGTGCTAGGAGAGCTGTACGGATATCACGTATCTTGAAAAGTGACATTACCCCCGATTTTTTTGACATTATGCTGTTTTTTTTCGACATTATGTACTTATCGCCTTATGGGAATCCCCGAAGTACATTTGTATATATTTTTACAAGATGTAGTGAAAGGAATAGGAAAAAATGAAGCAACTTCATTAGTTTGATTATTTTTATTTGTTATTACAGACTAGTAAAATTTTCACAATGTCACGAAATATTACATAAATTTAAAAATACAGAAGTTAAGTTGCAGAAAATTATATTTACAACAGAATAATATTAAAATAAATCGCAGATATTAACATCTAAACATATTCACTAGCAAGTACGTGCAACCACTTACTCGGAGAATCATCGAGGATGTTCTGTATGTATTGTGCAATTAACAGTAAATCAAATTTATTGAATCTTTATTCTTTAAGCTCTGTCGTTTGCATTTAAAGATAGCACGATAAAACAATTAAGTGCTTATTACATACAAATGCAAGAACAACAATTCAATGTTTTGTGAGATGTTTGATAATAATCGTTGAGCTTACTTAGAAATCTATGTCTACTGGTAACAAAGATTTTACACTTTTTCTCTAAAACTACGTTCATTTTTCAGGAGTAGTTTATTCTGTGTGGGTGTATATCAACGTCCAATTTCAAGCCGTGATTTTCATACAGTATTTTCTCAAAGTGGGAACTTTCCTTTATATGACGTTCTAATCAAACTAAGCAAATTTTTCCTCAAAACCCATACTTTAAAGACCCAAAGTCAACAGGGATATTGTTTCAAAATATTCGAGGCTAAATCCGTCTGTGCCATCCAGCCGATGATGAGGTCAGCAGACATGACGCGTGTCAGTTTCCCCGTTGTGTAGGTAAACCAATCTGTTTATTCACATGTCCGATTTGAAAAACAGATAAATGGCACACTTTGAGCGTGCGCACTTTTTTAAGTGATTTGAATCAATGATTTGTATGAAGTGATTATTTGATAAAAATAAATATTCAAAAAAAACTTGAATTTTTTCATAAAAGTCCATTAATCAAATTAGCGACATAAAATTAAAGTAAACTATGTAAACTATTAATGAATGAGAAACTAAATCAACAACTATTTGTTCTAATATCTGAAAAGAAACACCAATTTCGTCGTCACCAAATGTAGAAAAAAACCTTCTATGGATGCAGAGGAAGGCACAGCTGTGAACAACTTTCCTCGTGACAAATTTTTGGTTCTGCTGCGAACGCGTTGCATCGAAAGCAAGTAAGTAAGTGATGTTCGATCCTAATTATGTGAAGGTCTCCGCGAAGTAAATACTACTTGTAGTACCCTCGTATTTCACCAAACCCATGAGTTCAAACCGTGCACGCAGCGAAGAAAGGTGGCTCACCGCGTCCCCCTACCTTTCTCCTCTCTGGCCGCCTATAAACGCTCATTTTATTCAAGGCCATGTTGTGGCAACAATTGGGTGATACATAGGGAGCGAGGGAGCTCTTTACTTCGACGGTGCCTTTACATAATTAGGATCAAGCATCACCTACAGGTAAGTTCGTCTGATCATGTAATTATGTGAAGATCTCGTCGAAGTAAATACTACTTGTAGTACCCTCGCATCTCACCAAACCCACGAGTTCAAACCGTGCACGCAACAAAGGAAGGTGGCTCACCGCGTCCCCCTACCTTCCTCCTCTCTGTCCGCCTATAAACGCTCATTTTCTTCAAGGCCAAGTTGTTGCAACAATTGCGTGATACATAGGGAGCGAGGGAGCTCTTAACTTCGACGGTACCTTTACATAATTAGGATCAAACATCACTTACAGGTAAGTTCGTCTGATCATGTAATTATGTAATGGTCTCGTCGAAGTAAATACTACTTGTAGTACCCTCGTATCTCACCAAACCCACGAGTTCAAACCGTGCACGCAACGAAGGAAGGTGGATCACCGCGTCCCCCTACCTTCCTCATCTCTGGCCGCCTATCAGCTCTCATTTTCTTCAAAGCCAAGTTGTTGCAACAATCGGGTGATACATAGGGTGCGAGGGAGCTCTTTACTTCGACGGTACCTTTATATAATTAGGATCGAACATCACTTACAGGTAAGTTCGTCTGATTATGTAATTATGTGAAGGTCTCGTCAAAGTAAATACTACTTGTAGTACCCTCGTATCTCACGAGTTCAAACCGTGCACGCAGCGAAGGAGACCTGCTGTTAAAAGCCCTTGAGTTGTTAAAACGGAAATATACATTAACTTGACGCACATTGCGTACAATTTGTGTACGGTGAGATACGAGGGTACTATAAGAAGTATTTACTTCGACACACCGAACTTAATGTTAGGGGGTTGTCAAAACCTACCATTTGCAGTGATTATTTAGCAAAAAATAATGAATATTAAAAAAACATGATCGAATTAACTTTTTAAGAATCAAAAAAATGTGTCAGAAACAAAAAAAAATATTAATTTCACCAACCCAGCTTTAGGTTTATTCTTTTTCGCTGCTGTTTTCCCTTGCATTACCTTTGTCATTTCAAGCATAGATGTTCCTCAAAAAGGCAGGTTCCCACTTTTAGGAAACGAAACTAACCATCTTCACGAATTTAAATTGGCTGATATACACAGTTGATAATATCCAAACATATAAGTATCCCTCCCTTTCTAAAACACCGATTGAAAATGTCACCATAAAAATTGCACAAACAGGCAGTGTTAAGAGTTAGATCTCATTTGAGGACATGTCGATACAAACCCTTTTACAATACAGTCATATACAGTATTCGAATCACAAAAGGATTTGCAGACATTCCTTTTTGGATTTGTATAAGCCATATTCTTACACAAATCGCTAATTCGCTAATGGTCAGTATGAATTAATGAATAAGCCAGGCTTTAAGTACAGACTTTTTATCTGCTCTGTACTGATCATATATTCGTTATATGGCATATTGCTTATGTTTAGTATTTTTTTATATTTATGGTACCTAATCATTGACAAGTGTAGGAGATTCAACATGGAGTACCTAAGCCTGCCAAGACGCAGTATGGTGCCAAAAATCCGGCAAAGCTTTTGCTCTTCAATAAAATGTATTTGCTCAAACTTGAAGCGGTTTACGAATAGTCCTTTTAGGTAAACGACAAGACTTTAATATACAACCTGACGGAGGCATAATTCAATTAAAACCACCCGCAGTGCTTATCGAAAACTTCTTATTTTATCGCGAAAGTAGAAGTTGAAACTTCAAGACGGCGGTTGGGCAATATTTTTAGTGGAACGGGGGGTCGTGTAATACCTTATTTTGAAGTACTTTCATGACCACATAATATAAAGTACAATACCTTTCAAAATAGCTTACTGAAAGGCTTTTGAATTTGATCATTTTTGGGATATTCAATCTTGAAACTTGGAAGTCTACCTGAATATGCACTAAATTTGGAAATATGAGGAGTTATATGTATATGTTAGCTCTCCATTTTGAAAGAAAGTGGATGTATATCCCAAAGTTATGAAGTACTAATAAAGAAAATTGCGGTATGACGTGACATCCCGATCTATTTAAGACATAAAAGAGTGTGTTTTTTTAGTTTTTTCAAACTATTATTTATTTTTCATTTTTTAGCTTGACTTATCAATTAGTTTTTTGTGGAAATGTGATATTGACAGGTCTTACAAATCATTTTGTAATCTAATCATTTCATTTAAAGCTTCACTGCTGCATGGGGTTATTCCTGTTAACTTAGAGCAATCAAGTAGGATTAATGATAACATTCGCAATGAACAAGGTGAGAATGCACTACATTGAAAAAATATCTGCCTCTGTTGTGCTGTGCCGAGTTCGCGAACCAACAAAGAGTAAGTCTATCTCTCTTACTCCCTACAGAGGATCTAAAAAAGAATGTATCCATCCTGGCAGTCCTAATAACGATAATGGAAAACTGTTATCAAATTATTGCAGTGTCATCGAATCAAACTTCTGGAAACTGGTGAAAATTATGCTCAAATATTCCGGTACATACAAAACTACATACATACAAGCATACAGGCAAGCTAATAAAATTTTTTTAATAAGCACTTAGCCGCCATCTTGAAAATGTCAACCGCTGCTTTTACGCTAGAAAATCGGATCGTGCGTCAATTGTTTGGAAAATAAGTGTAGAGGGAATTTTTGAAAAGCACTGGGGTCTATAATTAACTGTTCCTTTCTTCTCTCGTCTTGACGAAATTTCAAAATTTCTTAGAAACGCTTATGAGTGCAAAGGGTGTAAAGCTGTATACTTAAAATTTAAATCATAATTCAATCACTTTACAAGCTTTCTGAGCAACTGTTAGAGCATACAAAATGTTGACAGCTTTGCGCCCCGTATCCAACATTTTTTCGAGTTATCACAGACTTGTATATTTACGATAGGGTTATAATTGGAATAAACCGTTGTTGGCGTGTCTCTCATGCGGCTAGTTATATGAATAAAGGCACTATTGCAGCCAGTGATATCATGTTCAAGGCGGTGGTGGAGGCGGAGCTGTCTGCCACGATCAACGTGTCTTTCTCTTCTTTCAGCTCCAAGACGCCTTGACTAGGGTCTGTTTGGTAGAAGGTTTTCTCTGAAAAAAAAATGTTCTATTAAGTTTGAATTTTCACTGGTGGAAGCCACAATACTCTCTAGGAATGAATGTATTAAAAGCCTGATACAACTGATCGAACCTAAGACTCGTAGTGAAAACCATACAATAACACAAAAAATTTGCTCAATTTAGATAAGCGATAGAAGTAGTAAACTAAAAACAAGAGTGGTCGAGAATATCAATAAATCTGTGTAATAACATTCTTATTTTTTTAAATGTTGACAATTTCATTGTTCAACTTTTATATAGGTGTCGAGTCCTACAAGCAGTTAAAATAAACGACTCAATTTTGAAAACACCCTGTAGTGTAGTGAACATGACGGAAATACGTTATCTATCTATCGAAAGTTGAAGACTTTGTGTCTTGATTTCGTCGTTAACGGTTGTGGAAATCCTTAAATTCGAATGTAAAAGTAAAGATCATTCAAACACACATTTTTTAGTGTATGGTATTTACAGAACAAGTTCCACATACTTATTGAAGACTTTTACGGATACATTAAAAAAATATCGCACTTCGACACAGTTCAATCATCCCAATATAGGCGACTGTAGAAAATGACTTGACTCGTTACCTTTTAAGCTTCAATGTATATTTACGAGGTGAGTTCAGAAAATATCTAGAAGTTTTGATTTTTGAAAAAATATTTATTGATGTGTCCTTGAACATTAGATATTATGCAATTGTGCCAGCGCTTCTTCGAATCCTAAAGTCAACTGTGCCTGTAGAACAATGACCACCTTTTTTTGGAAATAGAAGAAAGTCACACGGACCCATTTCTGGTGAATATGGAGGCTGGGGCATCAAGCAATGGAGCGTGAGCAGGCATCTTTTGAGACAATTTGAACTCGTAGGTAGTACTTTTATTCACCGTTTGACCTCGTGGCAAGAATCTCATTAAAATTGGAGAACACAGTGATCATAAACTTCAGTTTTGACTGGTCGAGCCTTTTTTGGCCTTTGCGAGCCAGGATGCTTCTATTGGGACGAATGAACCTTACTTAACCATACCCATAAACCCATGTTTTGTCAGCTATTAAAACACGTTTCAGTAATTCGGAATTGTCGTTGCCTTCATTTAGTGACTCCTGAGCAGTTTCCATTTGCCGCTGTTTTTGTTCAAAATCCAATCATTTTAAAAAAAAGTTTGCTGGTACGCGTTTCTTATCCAGAACATTCGAAACAACTTCATGGTATGAGCCAATCGTCAGCTACTTCTCTGATTGTAATCACTTGTTTTACTTTTTCCGCGTTTTTATCGGTTGTTGATGTCCTGGGGCGTTCGTTTAACGTCTTCACGGCCAGCTAGGTAACACTTATACTACCCGTAAACTCTTGTTTTACGCATAGCATTTCATTTGTTAACATGTCACGCACTATGATACACTTTCTTTTATTTTCTACGCAAAATTTGATAAACACTCGTTAATCCATTTCTAACCTTAGCGGCTGCCACAGACAAACTGAACAACAAATAGAGCTGCAAATTGTATCTTACTTCAGGAGCATGTATACCAACATAATAAAATAAAATGAGATTGGAGCCAAACCCGCGAAATTTAAAAATCCCACCTTATTTTCTGAACACCTCGTAAAAGTTTGTGGTGATTGGTATCATGAAGAATCTTAAAAAAAGTATTGGCTCTTTCAAATTGACAGAGAAAGTTAAGTTACCTTTGATGTCAGTCATTTGATCTCCAATAAATAACTTCTTATTGCTATATGGCTTTTGATTGGTCAACTCTTCAGGATCGGATTTGTCGTTGCCAACTTTGATGAAAGAGGTGATGGTGATTTCGAAGATCTTATTGGGGTCTGCTGGCAGTTCTGCAAGGGCTCTTCGTCGTCGCCCGAAACCAACAGAGCCATCACTGCATTCCACCTGTTCAAAAAAGATCATCAGTTTAGTATTTTATCTAAATTCATACAAACAGGCTTAATAACATTGCGAAATTATTCGCAAGGCGAGTCGTGAATTTTTTTTATTTGGATTGCTAAAACTATCGTGTTGTATGATCTAACGTACAACACGTGTTCATTAAGTTATAAGTCTGATATTTCAACAGCACCTTCAAATTGCGCTGTAACGATTTAATGATCTTCAAGTGTCCTACAAGAACAGTTACTGAATGTGTACGGTACGAAAAATGAAATATACAGGGTGTTTCAGTTTATTGTTGCATAACTTTGAGATTCGATAGAACTTTTAAAATTAATGCATAAAGTCTATATAAACATGGGTCGAAAAATGCGTGGCTTCCGAAATACAGGGTGTTTAAATTTACTTTCTAAAATAGTTTTTGTTAAATATTTCGAACAATATTTGATGTATAACAGTGAAAATTGGTATACAAGGGTTTTTTTTGGTACGACAAAACGAACCATGGGCATAGTTTTACTGTAGCCACTAGAGGGCGCTCTCTACTGTACCTGCAGTGTATTAAAATGACTGAAAATTTTTTCTTAGTGCAATTTTTTGCTTTTCGAATAGAAAAACTGATTCTTCGCACTTTTCAACATAAAAAAGCTCTCCTGTGAGTTTTCGTTATAGTTAGCCGTTTTTGAGATATTTCGATTTTTAAGGTTCGATGCATTTTTTATTATTTATGATAAAATAACGTTAAAAAGTCAGTATCTCGATAATTTTTAGACGTAGGCTGTGCCTGCAAATATTTTTGAAATTGAAAGCAGAATAAGGTTAAACGCAATTAGTTGACAGTTAGTTTTGTTGTCTGTTGAAACCTGAAAGGTTTTTTTGCAATTGTGAATGCACGAAATTTAGTTTCTTTTACCTGTTTTTTTTTTAATAAAAATGCCATTTTTATTCTACAATCAAGAGTTAGCGGATATTCATTTTGTGTATGGCTTTGTAAATGGAAACGCAGCAGAAGCAGCCAGAGAATACGCACGAAGAGTTCCAAACAGACGACATGCAACAAAATCGTTTTGGAAATCTCCAAAGGGATCAAAACATAAATGTTCATCAGCTCAGATTTACCCGTACGATTTTGCGTGAGTTTGATAGAGATCCGACCACAAGTGTTAGGAGAGTTTCTGGTGCCTTGGGAATTTCAGCAAGCCATGTTCACCTTGTTCTTAGGAATGACCATAGTTGTCTTTTCCATTTGCAACCTGTGCAAGGACTACATCCAGGGGACGGAGAACGAAGAATCACATTTTGTCAGCGGATTCCTGATAGAACTGATAATAATGGGGAGTTTTTAAGTAACGTTTTATGGACCGATGAGTCATGCTTCACTAGACGTGGAGTGGTACATTTTCATAATCAACATATTTGGTCGCATGAAATTCCGCATGCAGTTCGGGAAAGAAATTTTCAGCATGAATTTAGTGTGAACGTGTGGATTGGTATCTACCGTAATCGACTATTTGAACCCTACCTTTTGCCTGCAAGGTTAAATGCTGCGACATTCTTGGAATTTTTAAAAGCTGAACATGCAAATATTTGGGATGATGTTATGTTAGATTTAAGAAGATTGGCCTGGTTCCAGCTTGATGGTTGTCCAGCTCATTATTCGAGAATAGTTAGAAACTGGCTGGACGAAAATTATCCAGAAAGATGGATCGGCCGTGGAGGACCAGTCGCCTGACCTCCACGATCCCCTGACCTAAATCCATTAGATTTCTTTGTGTGGGGATTTCTAAAAGAAAAAGTGTAACAGACTCCCGTAACCACAAGAGCTATGCTAATAGACAGAATCAGGAATGCATGTGATGAAATAAGGCCTTATTTGAATAATGCTATACCACGTTCAATCATTCGTAGATGTGAATTGTGTATTGAACAATTGGGTTTACATTTCGAGCAACTACTTTAGATTTTGTATGTTTGTCCTAACTATCCAATAGCATTTTAGTTGTAAATAATAAATTTAATTTGTTAAAAATAATATTGGAAAATTAAACAAATTAATATTGTTTTTTTGTGTTTATTTGGAGTTAGGAATTATTGCTGTGTTTAAAAACACAATCTAAATGATCATCATGATTACTTGTAATGTCCAAATCGAAAATGTGAAAAAAATATTATTTTCCCATAAATAATTAAAAATGCATCGAACCTTAAAAATCGAAAGATCTCAAAAACGGCTAACTACAACGAAAACTCACAGAAGAGCTTTTTTATGTTGAAAAGTGCGAAGAATCAGTTTTTTTATTCAAAAAGCAAAAAATTGCACTAAGAAAAATGTTTCGGGTCATTTTTATACACTACAGGTACAGTATAGAGCGCCCTCTAGGGGCTACAGTAAAACTATGCCCATGGTTCGTTTTGTCGTATCAAAAAACCACCATGTACCAATTTTCACTGTTATACATCAAATATTGTTCGAAATATTTAAAAAAAAACTATTTTAGAAAGTAAATTTAAACACCCTGTATTTCGGAAGCCACGCATTTTTCGACCCATGTTTATATAGACTTTATGCATTAATTTTAAAAGTTCGAATCTTAAAGTTATGCAACAATAAACTGAAACACCCTGTATAGGAGAGTAGCAAGGCCTCATAAGGGAGGGCGGATTATTACGTAAATACATGTGTCAATATCGATTATATTTATATTGTAACAATATGTAAGTCTACCCCATTGACAAATAAATCAAGTTGAGGAATTATTTTTTTCTGGGCGTAACATTTCTATCTATAACAATGTGAGGCATTTCTATAAATTCTGGTCATCTGCTACTTTGGAACAAAACATGCAACTCCTGTTCGTGTGACTTTCCAGGTATGTGCTTCTTAGTATATGCGGTACTATATACCATCCTAATACAATACTAATGTTTACGGCTAAAAACATTCCCATCACGTTTGCACGAGAATACGTTGCTTCATATTTTATGCAAGAATTCTCATAATACAGCCGAGTTCTACGGTAAACTATCTTTGTTACATAAAACATACACATCAAACTTGTTTTCGTAGTTCAGTCAACAGTTGAATTGGAGAAGAAGGCTCTCGGTCAAATTGGCTGAAATTTTTCTGCGTTGTCCGCCATACTAACCTGATAAAAAAATACAATCGCAGACATCCAGAAGATGTGTATTATAGTAGTGACTGAGTTTCTAATTAATGCTCAAATAAGCCATAAAAGCACGTTGGTGTGGGTCGTAAATACATACCTTTTTGAAGCTTGGACATACGATTAGGATTAGATTGGCTTGGAGAACAACATACTAAAATTTCACCGTCAGCTATACGCCATAAAGTATGTCACATCTTCATCAGCTTAGCAGAATAAAACTAGCAGTGCTAGTAACGCCCTCGTATAACTGGAACTCTGGCTACCAGCGAGAGACCCTCGTACATCAACTAGAAGACAGCCAGATGTCGGATCACTTGAAAGTTCGTGGACTCGGCCGAAAAACGCTGGAATGTTTCTCGAGCCGTCGATAGGGAATAAATACCCGACCAGATGGCGAAAGAACCAGTCACAGTCGAGACTGTAGAAAATGACTTGACTCGTTACCTTTTAAGCTTCAATGTATACTTATGAGGCGAGTTCAGAAAATAACTGGAAGTTTTGTTTTTGAAAAAAAAATTGTTGATGTGGCCTTGAACATTAGTTATTATGCAATTGTGCCAGCGCTTCCTCGAATCCTAAAGTCAACTGTGCTTGTAGAACCTTGACCACATTTTTTTGGAAATAGAAGAAAGTCACACGGACCCATTTCTGGCGAATATGGAGGCTAGGGCATCAAGCCATGGAGCGTGAGCAGGCATTTTTTGAGACAATTTGAACTCATTGGTAGTACTTTTTATTCACCGTTTGACCTCGTGGCACATCCAGAACATGTGTATTATAGTAGTGACTAAGTTTCTAATTAATGCTCAAATAAGCCATAAAAGCACGTTGGTGCGGGTCGTAAATTCATACCTTTTTGAAGCTTGGACATACGATTAGGATTAGATTGGCTTGGACAACAACATACTAAAATTTCACCGTCAGCTATACGCCATAAAGAATGTCACATCTTCATCAGCTTAGCAGAATAAAACTAGCAGTGCTAGTAACGCCCTCGTATAACTGGAACTCTGGCTACAGCGAGAGACCCTCGTACATCAACTAGAAGACAGCCAGATGTCGTATCACTTGAAAGTTCGTGACTCGGCCGAAAACGCCGGAATGTTTCTCGACTCGTCGATAGGGGAATAAATACCCGACCAGATGGCGAAAAGAGCCAGTTACAGTCAAGACTGTAGAAAATGACTGGACTCGTTACCTTTTAAGCTTCAGTGTATATTTACGAGGCGAGTTCAGAAAATAACTGGAAGTTTTGTTTTTTGAAAAAAAAATTATTGATGTGGCCTTGAACATTAGTTATTATGCAATTGTGCCAGCGCTTCTTCGAATCCTAAAGTCAACTGTGCTTGTAGAACAATGACCACCTTTTTTTGGAAATAGAAGAAAGTCGCACGGACCCATTTCTGGCGAATATGGAGGCTAGGGCATCAAGCCATGGAGCGTGAGCAGGCATTTTTTGAGACAATTTGAACTCGTTGGTAGTACTTTTTATTCACCGTTTGACCTCGTGGCATATCCAGAAGATGTGTATTATAGTAGTGACTAAGTTTCTAATTAATGCTCAAATAAGCCATAAAAGCACGTTGGTGTGGGTCGTAAATTCATACCTTTTTGAAGCTTGGACATACGATTAGGATTAGATTGGTTTGGAGAACAACATACTAAAATTTCACCGTCAGCTATACGCCATAAAGAATGTTACATCTTCATCAGCTTAGCAGAATAAAACTAGCAGTGCTAGTAACGCTCTCGTATAACTGGAACTCTGGCTACCAGCGAGAGACCCTCGTACATCAACTAGAAGACAGCCAGATGTCGGATCACTTGAAAGTTCGTGACTCGGCCGAAAAAACGCTGGAATGTTTCTCGACTCGTCGATAGGGGAATAAATACCCGACCAGATGGCGGAAGAGCCAGTCACAGTCGAGACAGTCACCGAACAGTGACCGATTGTGACAACATAATCCAGTCGACATTAGTTGCATTAGTTTGTAATTGAGATAAATTAGACTTTGGACAGTAAAAACGGTATTTTTGTTATACATTAGCTACGGAATTGAGGTCTGAAGCAGAAGCCATACATTGAACGCTGTCATATTTTTTATTCTATGTTCTTCTGGGTTAACATTAAGTGAGCAGGCATACAGGGTTTGTCCGGAAAGTAATAGGACGGGGTCGATTTAAGAAATAGTCGCCTGTCCTGATTCTCCAAGTGCTCGGAGACAACTGACCAGCCGCTCATTCGTTAGCTAGGAACGCCCTCTACCGTAAGTAAGCTATAAAAACTATCTCAACCTGCAGGACATTGATAAAAAATATAAAAGCCTTCATTTACTTCACGGTTGTACGATGATTTTTTTCTTCTTGACTGGTCTATCAAACTGGCCTTACCCCTTGACATTTATCCAGACAAACGTTGACTGTCCCTTTGAACTGCACGTAGGTGGATTCTGGGAATTTGAATGCACGGAATTTTGCGGAGAGGAAGTCCCCGTCTACTGTGTTGAAGTTCTCGAACAGGTACGGGTCCACTGAGCATCTGTAATTTCGTAAAATTTAAGCTAAGTGTGTATAAAGAAATATGCGGTTGGGAACGCCAAAGACTACGCTACGAGGTGTGTGAATTAAGTGATGAGACTGGATTTTCTTTAAATTTTTTTTCAAATATAATTACAATTTAGATAGACATAGATGATATTAATATAAAAGACAAGCACAATATTATACAGAATTTGAGTAGAGGTGGCTTAAAATTCCCAAAGGATCCAGTTATTAATATTGTCATGCTAAGCTAATTTTCAATAAAGTTTGATGTACGGCACGCTGTGCTGTCGGCCGGCCGACCGGCCTACTCGTGGTGACGTCACGCGTCTGTTGTCACTGAAGATGGTCTTCCACTCCTCATAGCAGTGCTTTGGTTACTTATTGAATGACCCATGTATACAAGAATCGTTTCCGATTCCTTGATTCCCGCTGTTTCTAGAAAATACCAGATGATCGAAATTCCTTGGCTTGACACGGAAATTCCGGTGTATAAGTGAAGCAAAGCTTAAAGAAGGAAATTTCGCTGGACCTCAAATACGCGAACCTTTTAAGGACCAACATTTTAAGACCACACTTTCGAGAAAGAAAAAAAGGGCGTCGGACGCCTTCCAAATTGTACGTAGCAACTTTCTAGACAACAAAAAATCGGACAACTTCAAAGATGTAGTTGAAAAACTTATCCAATCTTATTAAAAACATTATTTCATGAACATTTTGTCCACCTTGTTTATCCGAAATAAAGCGGTATCTTGAAAATTGCTACGAAAGGACAAAGCAGCCTTAGAAAAATCCAGTAAGTTTTACCTCATGGTTTGGAAACACCGTCTACCTTTAATTTTTGCTTACCCGTTGTAGATGATGGTTTCTTCTTGCGATTTGGTATCTGTGACTTGCATGTGGGGTGACTAGCAGGCCGTATAGGGGTGCCGATTTCTCATCGAGAAAGATTTCCATCTGAAGGGGCGTGCCCGGCGATACGTTCAGCTCCCCGGTCACCAACTGGCCGTTTTGTCGTACTCCCACGTGAAGTACTGGTTCTTCTGCCTGGCGCTCCAGTTGGCTCCAGCTTATATCTCTGAAAGAAAAGGTCGCGTCAAGTAGATTGATTCTGTACCTCCCAGGCCTTCCAAAAAAGATGTAGGTCTGGTCATAAGCATTCTTTTCATGAAAAGTAAATTCTCATATTGTCCATACGCGGTAGCTGAGTTCTTATGTAAATCTGTTTGTCAACAATCTCTAGCAACTGATTATAATAGCTCTTGATACGTACTTATGTATGTATTATATGTACTATATAGGGTGGCCCATTCATGTGTGGACGGAGTATTACTCATAAACAAATTCATTTTGGGAAAATCCATTTATGGCATGTTATACATGACATTTGAGGGCACATTTCTAAAATATTAGCAATTATACAGGGTGTCCCGATTTTGACCTACATATCAAAGTTGGGATTTTTTAAATGGAATGCCTCAAATTTTATTGCATATTTCGATAAACCAATTCAAATGAAGAAGATTGATATAACATACTATGGGGTTTTGGTAATTAGCTACTGAGATATAAGGTGTTTTGTCTAGAAAAACCGCCCACTTCGGCAACCCCTCAGTCCGCCATTTTGAAATTTGGAGCGTTGAATTTTGTATCAAAAAAAACTTAAACACCTCAGCTTTTACCTTATTTGTTACTTTTTCGAATTTTAATTTTTGCTCATACAGGGTGGTCAAAAACGGAAATGGTAGTTTTTCTCAAAAATTTCAAATGCATCACCATGTATATTTGTGCAATTTTTCATAAGATTTTTTTGATACTAGACACATAAGGGTTTTATGGCTATTTTTTCGGTTATTAGCACGTCTTTTATGGACGGCTTAATTCCCTAAAATGTCGCATCATCCTTGGGAACAAATAAATTGTTGATTAGTTACAAATATGCAATAAAATTTGAGGAATTCCATTTGACAAATCACAACTTTGATATGTAGGTCGAAATTGAGACACCCTGTACAATGGCCAATATTTTATAAATGTGCCCTCAAATATCATGTATAACATCCCATGAATAGACTTTCCCAAATGTATACTAAGTGACATATAAATCCGAACACCAAGTTAAATGGTTTTATTTTAATAAAATTTTGTATAAGTACTTAATGAAGCATAATAAATAAATGATAAAAATTTCAAAATGATTGCACTGCTTTAAAGCCTTTGACCTTTAATAATGTGTGGATGCACCCTGATGTGCTACGCATTCTCCAACGCGCCTAGGCATGCTTCTGATCAGGTGGTCAATGTCCTATTGTGGTATCTCATTCCAGGCAACCACCAACTCCTCTCGAAGTGCTTCTAGAGTCTGAGGAGGACGTTGCAAATTGAGCAATCTCCTACCCATCATATCCCACACGTGCTCAATTGGGGATAAGCCGGGAGATCTTGGTGGCCATGGTAACAATTTGACATCATTATGTTGAAAGAAGTCTATTGCTACATGTGGTCGGGCATTATCTTGTTGGAAAGTTGGATCTGCCAGGGTGTCAAGGTAGGGTAAAAGATGGGGTTCTAGAACTTCGTGGATATAACGCTGCGCGTTCATGTTACCTCTGATGAAGATTAAAGGTGACCTGGAACCATAAGCTATAGCACCCCAAACCATAACTCCAACAGTGTGATGAACATGTCTTTCAACAAAAAACTGTGGATTCCTCCTTTCACCACGTCGCCTTCTAACCCTGGCACGATCATCGTGCATGCCTAAACAAAATCGAGACTCGTCACTAAAGACAATACTGTTCCATTCCTGATCCCAGAGTGACCGTTGTCTGCACCACTCAAGGCGATTACGTCGGTGTTCTCGAGTTAAAGGGAGGACCCAGTGTGGCCGGTATGAAAACAAGCCAAAACTTCTCATTCGTCGGTAAACACTTCGCATGCCAATAGGTCTTTCGTGTTCTGCAAACCATTCATTTGCAATGGACCTAGTAGTGGAGAAACGGTCCCTTAAGGCCAATAATCTTAGGCGGCGATCTTCACGGTCTGTTGTTCTACGGCGGCGTCCAGTGCCCCTTGCTCTTTGCGTACGGCCTTCTCGAAGCCATGCCTGACAACACCTAACCACAGTGTCTACACTTCTTTGCACTCTAACTGCAATTGCCCGAAAAGAAAGTCCAGCTTCCCGAAGTCCCACTATACGGCCCCTATCAAACTCACTAAGTTGACGAAATCGTACAGGTCTCCGTACTCTAGGCATCGTAACCGATCGTAAAGGATGTCAAGAACCAAAATCCGCCAACGTTGATTCTTTACTGCGGCTGAAATATTCATTTTTAGAGCGTTAGTGAATTAAAAAAAAGCAGTATAAAAACCGGAATGTCCAACTGATAAGGCTGAAAATATTTTCACTTGTTATTTACAGTAAGATAAATACATTCACCAACTTTTATTAAAATAGAACCATTTAAACTGGGTGTTCGGATTTATATGTCACTTAGTATATTTGTTTATGATTAATATTTCGTCCACACATGGATGGGCCACCCTGTATACAGCACCTCTATTTGTTACTCTCCTGGTATATATTTGAAAAAACGCTCGGACATGTCAATTTTGATTTCTAGGGGGACGATCTTTCATCTATAGCCGTACAATAGAGGGTGATCCAAAAATAAGATATAACGATACACTTTAGATTTTTAAATTGATGCCCCCATTTTTTTTAATTTTAGATTTCCCATGGAGTTTTTAGTAACTTTTGTAGTATATATAATAATACTGCGCCTACCTCGTATGTGCATATCGTGTCACCGCGCCGTCTGCTATCTGCTCTTATAAGTACGCCCACTACCAGAGATTCAATATTTAAGACCCCGTGACGCACCGCAAGTGCGACCGATAGGTACGCGATCTGTCTGCTCAAAATATTTTGTTACAAAGCTTTAAGAGTAAATATACAGGGAAATCTATGATGTGTGAAATATGTCTGCAATGCATCAAAAAAGTGCGATACACCCTCCCTCACCCCCCACAACTTCCCACTTCCAATTTTTCATTCATAAAATTTTCTTGAGAGATTATCAGGATCCTCCAAAAAGTCAGATTCTTTTGAGCTATTGAAGATCTTTGTTTCATTGCCCCTTTGTTAAAAAATCATCAAATATTTTTCTAGGAATATAAGGTATTAATAATTTGAGTTTAAGGAAATGCCAGTCGACTTTTGACAATGCATAAATATCTAATGAGCCAGGAAGAAGCAAGAAGTCGGAGACTGCTCCCAGTCGCATAACTCACAATATTTCACAATACCAGGAAGTTGTTTTAACGTAAACATGTCTATCGAGATGGGTGCGGCTTGATGTTTAACACACCGTAATATATCAATAACGCTTGATGGAGATCATTTAATCATTTTGTACAAAAATCGGTAATGTTAGTGTGGATACCCAAGTACCACGAAGTGTACACCATACAGGGTGTCCCAGAATATGTGAATCAAATTGCAATGGGTGATACCTTAGATAATGACCTCTCAATTGCGGTACAGACCTGATAAAAAACGTGTAACCTTTGCGTTAAAACAAAAATCAGTTTTTTCGAAAAAGTATGACTTTCGTCAAACTTTCGACGACAGGTGCCGCGTTTAGGGTTTATTTTAATTTTTTTTTACTATTATTATTAGTGAATGATTGAAGCATGAAACTACAAACAGTTTTATTCTAAAAATCACGTAATTTTGAAATCGCAGCGCTATTTTGGAATTTTTTTCTGCATCAAAAAGTTTCTTGTAAGTTCGACTAACAGTGGTATAAGAAAAATGTATGGTACTTGTTTGGCAAACCTCTCCGAAAATAGCCCAGTTAATGAATATTCGAAAATGGTACAAATCAGGTAATTTACCTCAATAGAGTAGGAGAATAAAAATTCTTAGAGTGCAAGGGCGAAATGGGTCGAATTTCAGAATTACACTTTTCAAATCATAATTGCTTTTCACGTTGA